GTTGCTCCTGGCCCCCGCAGCCTCGACCTGCTGGGCTCCGGCGATCCTTCCGCCTCAGCCTTCCGAGTAGCTGGAACTACAGGCACGAGCTACCACGTCCGGCTAATTTTTAAATTTATGGTAGAGATGAGGTCTCGCCAAGTTGCCCAGGCAGGTCTCGAACCCGCGGACTCAGGCAATCTACTCACCTCAGCCTCTCAAAGGCATGGGATTACAGGCTGAGCCACCGAGCGGGCTTCGCCTCAGCCTTCGAAGTAGCTAGAACTACAGGCGCATGCTACCACGTGCGGCTTATTTTTTGATTTATTATAGAGGAAAGGTCACACCAAGTTGCCCAGGCTGGTCTTGAACCCCTGAGCTCAGGCAACCCTCTCGCCTTGGCCTCCCAAGGGGCTGGGATTACAGTCTTGAGCCACCGTGCCTGGCCTAGCCTCAGTCTATTCAATGTAACACGGAAGCAGTAAATTGGACCTGGCAGGGATGGGGGCATGAGGACGAGCATGTTTGTGCCCAGCGGTTGCAGGTATCATGTTTAGGCACCGTGTCAGGTGTGGAACAGCTGAAGAAATTGGGGATGTTTGACCTGGGCAGGAAGGCTCAGGTGTGCGAATACCCACCTTCCAGCATCTGAAGGGCTGGCCCGAGGCTGGCAACAGCCAAGGCTGATCCCCGGCTGTGGGTGGGTCATGAGTGGGGGGGGTTACCGGAACACAGGATCCTCCCTAGAAGCCTGCCCAGATCTCCCCATTACGGTGACCCACGGACCAGCCAGGCTGTTCCTTGCAGCTGAGTGCCTCGTCCCTGGGGGTGGGTCAGCGGAGCCTTGGATGGCGTGGGCGTGCCGACGTCTCTGGGTTCCCTCCCAGCTAGGGGAGGGCAAGGACTTCCAGGAGCCCTGCGGGGCTGCCCTGCAATAGCCTTTGACCAGGCCGAGCCCCTCCCCCGTCCGCGCCCAGACTCAGGGACTGGGAGCCCAGCCATGGCCACAGGGCAGGCACCCAGCACCCAGGGATGTGCAGTGTGGGGGATGGGAGGGACAAGGGAGAACAGGGGCATGGTGCGGCTGGAGGTGGCCCTTGAAGGATGGGCAAGGTGTGGAGAGGCAGCGTCCTCGCCGCGTTGCGCCGACAGAAAAATGCCAAAGTCCGGGGTCCTCGCCTTTA